CGTGAACTTAGAAGGAGGAAGGCTCATACAAGAAGCCTAGAAACTGCATGCTGCTGGTGAAGATGGGAGGTAGAGTGCCATTGAGCTTGTTGTATGAGAGGTCCCTGCGAGGGGAGAGAGAGGGGAGGGGAGGGGAGGGGAGGGGAGAGAGTGGAGAGGGTGGGAAGAGAGAAGAAACGGTTGAGCTTGTTGTATGAGAGGTCCCTGCGAGGGAAGAGGGGAATGAGGAGTGAGCGGGGAGAGGGTAGAAACATGGAAGAAGGTGGGGGGGTTAGGGGAAAGACAGAAACTGCATGCTGTAAGTGAAGATGGGAGGCAGAATGTCACTGAGCTTGTTGCAAGAAAGGTTCCTGCGAGGGGAGAGAGAGGGGAGGGGAGGGGAGAGAGTGGAGAGGGTGGGAAGAGAGAAGAAACGGTTGAGCTTGTTGTGAGAGACGTTCCTGCAAAGGGAGAGAGAGGAGAGTGGAGAGGGTGGAGAGAGAGAGTGAGGAGAAGAGAGAGGAGAGCAGAGAGACGGGAGGGGGAAGGGAAAGGGAGTAGGTAGGAGAGAGATTGGGGAAAGAAGGGAGGCTCGGAATTGGGAGCGAGGGAATGCAGTGACAGACAGTACAAGGCAGGGAGCATTAGAAAAGAGGCTGGTTGAGAAATTACATTAAAGCATGTGGAGTTTACTATTAAGAATTAGAGGCAGGTCGAGAAATTACATTCAAGTATGTGGAGTGTACTATTAAGAATTAGAGGTTGGTCAAGAAATTACATAGAGAAATAGTACTCCACATAGGGACCATTAGAGAAGAGGCTGGTTGAGAAATTACATTCAAACAAAAAAAAAAAGAGTGGATAACGAGCTAGGGAGGCACAGAGCTGACGTTGAGGCACCTAAGCAAAAAAAAAAGTATTTTGAGATGTGATGATGGCGCCACGCACATCTCAAAACACTTCGTTTTACACGGAGGCACTGAGCTTGACTTTTGAGGCATAGAGCTGACTTTGAGGCACAGAGCTGACTTTGAGGCACCTAAGCAAAAAGAATGGGAGTGAAAGTAGCAAGGAGAGAGACGAAAGAGAGCAGGGCAGTCACAGGGAGTTTTGGGAGGTGAGCTCGGACAGCTGGAGAGGCAGCGGGCCGATTGTTGTGACGACTGGAATACAAAATAGGAACAACGGTAAGAATAGGAACAACGGTAAGAATAGGAACAATGTGTTGAGAATCTAGGCAAAGAATGAAAGACTAGAAGCAGTTGGGATACAAATGTAAACCCTAGAATGAGTTGTACCCCATGTAAGCTACCCCACTACAGCCTACAAACAACTTTATAGTTTAACACACCCCCATAGGCAAAGTGGGGGAGAACTAGTGGTCACAAGACCAGTCAAGAAAAGCAAAGCAAGCTCAGGGTGGATCACAAAGTCACCACACACTCTGAGCACAAGCAAAGGGCCACAAGGCCAGTTCACATGCGGAGTTATAGGCAAGCAGTACAGTGATCACAACCTAGCAAGTGTAAGCATGCAAGGATATAGATAGACCACAGTACAAACAAGGTCAAGAAGTGAGCAAGTGAGAAAACGTAGGCACGAGGCCTAGAGCAGTACAGAGATGCTGATGATCATCAGGCGAAAGTGCCTTGGTGAAGATATCAGCTGTGTTGGCCCGAGTGGCCACGTAAGCTAGACGAAGCTGACCACGCTGCTGCAACTCTCGAGCAAGGAAGTAACACAGAGCGATGTGCTTCGTTCTGTGCTCCAGTCTGTGCTCCTTACACAAGGCAATGGTGGCCTTGTTGTCGACGTACAGAAAAGGAGGAGAACTAGGCTGCTCTCCCAAGTCAGTCAGCAGGTAGGTGAGCCAGCGTAACTCCTGTGCAGCCATGACCGTGGCGTAGATCACAGCCTCACAACTGGAGCTGAGAACAGAAGACGAGCGGGTAGACCGCCACGAAACAGAGCCGGAACCAAGGCTGAAGGTGTAACCCTGTGACGACCGCTGCGTAGCCAGGTCGTCAACCCAAGAAGCGTCGGAGTGTCCAGTGAGGACAACGTCACCCCGTCCTCCAAGCACCAGCACCACGCCCGATGTACTGCACAAGTAGCGCAACACCCTCTTAGCAGCCTCCCAGTGCTCTCGCCGGTGTCTCCCAGGTGCAACGTAGCGAGCCAGGATGCTAAGAGGGTACGCAAGGTCAGGTCGAGTGCAGGTCATCAGGTACATGAGGCAGCCCACAAGCTCTGGATACGGGCCACTCGGCTCTACGGACTCGTCCGAAGGTGGAGCTGAGAGCAAGTGACCGGTAGGCACAAGAGTGGACTGTGGTGAGGAGAACTGGAAGCCGAAGCGCTCAAGGACCTGCTGCACCATGTGTGACTGAGTCAGGGTGATGGTGCGGTGTGCTCTGTCCCGGGTGATCTGCAAGCCAAGGTAGTTGCGCAGCTCACCCAAGTCTGTGCACGTGTGTCTCTTCTGCAACTCCGACTTCACAAGGGCGAGTGCCTCAGTGTCAGCAGTGGCAAACACTAGGTCGTTGACGTACACGAGGATGTAGAACGGCGGCAGCGAAGTGTCTGTGCGCAGAAACAGCGACGGGTCAGCAGTCGACCCAAGAGCCGCAAGCGTCGTCCTCAGTGTGTCGTGCCACTCATGAGGCGCCTGGCGGAGACCGTAGACTGGCCGCCGAAGGCTCCACTGGGTACCAGCAGGAAACGACCCAGTAAAGCTAGGTGGGCGGCGCAGCCAGATCTCCTCGTGCAGGCTGCCCTGTAAGAACGCTGTGCTGAAGTCAAGAGAGTGAAGTTCGTAGTCACGCTGAGTTGAAACGTGCAGCAGCACCCGAAGAGTGGTCATCTTTGGGGTAGGGGAGAAGGTCTGGAAGAAGTCAACTCCTTGTCGCTGACTGAAGCCTCGTGCAATGTAACGAGCCTTGAAGACAGGCAGAGAACCCGGCGGCCGCTTCACCCTGAAAATCCACATGCCATCGACTATGTTCACCCCAGGAGGGGGAACCTCGTCGACGTAGGTGCCTGTGGACTTCCAGGATGCCATCTCTGCGTCCATGGCTGTCTGCCACTGAGAGGAGTAGGGACCCGAAATCGCCTCTGCGTAAGAGCGTGAGGCCGGGATGTCCAGTGCATCCGGGTCTCCCTCAGGTGCAAGCAGCCAGGCCACGAGATGAGGTACAACAGCCGCAAGAGACTCAAAGTCCTCCTGCCTGTCCTTAAGGACGTCCGTGCCAAGGGCACACTCACCCCCGACGGACGGAGGACAGACAGACTCAGACTCAGCAACAAGACTGGCGGCGTAGTCTAGACGACACGCAACAGCAAAGTCCACAAGCTCAGCAACTAAGGCAGACGCAGCAGTAGACTCAAACGACGGGTCAGTGACAACAGTAGCCAGGAGACGCGTGACAGTAGGGCTGGCAGCACGAACACAGTCAAACTCAGGGTCAGGAAGCTCAGGAAGAGAGGACGCAGGAGGAGACGGCAGAGGGACGCGCTGTGGAGCAGTGGAAGGACGAAGTGCCATAGTGTGAGTACCTGGCACAGGAGGAGGACGCGGACGCGGGATACGACGAGCGGTGCGAGCAGTGTGAACAGGGGAGACAGGACGAGACGCAGGCTCACGACGCTCTGTAAGGGAGACCGGCTGCTCAGGGTAAGGAGACGGGGCAGGCAGCGGTGAGTCCGGAGGAAGGGCAGTGGACGAAGGAAGACTAAGAACCTGACGGAGCACCGACTCGGGCGGGAGCTCGGACAGCTGCGGCGGCGGCAAGAAGAACGGTCGCTGCTGCACAGGGCCTCCAGCTCCAGCGCCTCCAGCACCAGCACCTCCAGCTCCAGTGCCTCCAGCTCCAGTAGCTCCAGCTCCAGCGCCTCCAGCTCCAACGCCTCCAGCACCAGCGCCGCCAGCTCCACTAGCTCCAGCTCCAGCACCTCCAGCTCCAGTGCCTCCAGCTCCTGCGTCACCAGCGCCAGAACCCCCAGCTCCCGCGCCCCCAGCTCCCGCGCGACTCCGACGGCGAAGCCAATCGCGCAGCTGCTATGGGGAGAGGGGCTCACGCCGCTGCATAGGGTCTCCAGCCCCAGTGTCCCCAGTGTCAGCAACTCCAGTGCCAGCGCCTCCAGCTCCGATGCCTCCAGGGCCAGCACCTACAGGGTCAGCACCTCCAGCTCCAGCATCGATGCCCTCAGCTTCAGGGTCTCCAGCTCCAGCGCGACTCCGAAGGCGGGCGCGCCGGACGAGCCACTCGCGCAGCTGCTGCGGCGAGAGGGTCTCACGCTGGGAGACCGCTGCGACGAGGCTCCCGAAAGACCACCAGTAAAAACAGCACCACCAGGCTCAGCACCCCCAGACTCAGGACGCGCAGTCGCAGCACCCCTAGGCTCAGCACCCCTAGGCTCAGCACCCCCAGGCTCAGCAACCCCAGGCTCAGCACCCCCAGGCTCAGCAACCCCAGGCTCAACAACGCCAGGCTCAGCACCCCTAGGCTCAGCACCCCCAGGCTCAGCACCCCCAGGCTCAGCACCTCCAGACGCAGCACCCCCAGGCTCCGCACGCTCAGGCTCAGCACCCCCAGGCTCCGCACGCTCAAGCACAGCACCCCCAGGCTCCGCAGGCTTAGGCCCAGCACCCCCAGACGCAGTGCCCCAAGCAGGACCACCCCCAGCAGCACCTGAGTCACTAGTGACCTCGACAGGCTCAGCCAAGGGAAATGGGTCAACCTGAGAGACACCTGAAGGAGCAGGACCCTGAGGGGGGAGGGGATCTACTGGAGAGGGGGACCTGGAGCGAGGAAGAGCGGCGGGGGGGGGAGAGGGGCAGTGCGGTAGGGGAAGAGACGGTAAAAGGGAACCGACTCGTCAAACGTGACGTCCTGAGAGGGGAAGACACGGCGCAAGAAGGAACGACGGCCAAGTCGAAGGCGCGGGACAAGTCCCCAGGGAACGACGGCCTCTCGAAGGAGCTCTTCGAGCAGCACTGGGACCTGTTGAAGGAGGATTTCATGGGCTTTATCAAAAAGTTTGAAGAGACGGCGGTGCTCCCGGAGGAGGTGCAGGAGGTGGTGACCATCCTGCTGCACAAGAAGGGCCCAAAGGAACTGGTGCAGAACTATAGGCCAATTACCTTGTTGACAGGCTCTTACAAGGTAGTGGCGAAGCTGCTGGCTAACCGAATGAAGAAGGTGCTGGGAACAGTCATCTCGGAGGAGCAGCACGGCTTCCTTCCCGGTCGGCGGCTCTCGGATGCGGTGTCGATGGTGGCTGACGTGATCGAAGCCGCGAACAACGATAACGAGGACTGGTATCTGATGATGGTGGATTTTCAGAAGGCCTTCGACTCGGTGTCGCGGTCCTTCCTCTTTGACACGATGGCGCTGATGGGTTTCCCCGAGAAGTTCATCGGCTGGTGCAAGGGCCTGCATGGGGGGTCGTTCACGCGCCTCTTGGTCAACGGATGGCTGGGAGATCGTGTCGATGTCTGCAAGGGGGTTCGCCAAGGGTGTCCGCTCGCGCCGTACTTATTCTTGTGTGCGGTGGAGCCAATCTGCCAAGAAGCAAAGCGCAGGAGGTTAGGCATATGCGACGACCATGGGGACCGGCTGGCCTACCTTGGATATGCTGACGACACGACTCTGGTGCTGAAGGGGAAGCAACAGATTGGTCGAGCGGAGGCGCTCCTGGAAGTGTTCGAGGCCCGCTCTGGCCTTCGTGTGAACAAGGACACGTCAGCAATATTACCGCTGGGGAAGAACCTGGAAAAAGGGAAAGATAAGGAGTCAGCCTTCACGTGGGTCGAACCTAAAGAAGCAGAGCGGCTAATGGGTGTTTGGGTATCCCCGTCCGGGAGTGCCGAGGTCACCTGGGAGAGGGCGCTGGCCAGGGCGGCGGAAGAACTGGTGAAGTGGCGCTCTCAGCAGCTTACCACGACGGCAAGGGTGGCGGTGGTGAACGCTTACGTTTGCCCGGTCCTCGCTTTCCAAGGCCAGGTTTACCCACCGTCAGAGAAGATTTGGAATCGGATCATGAAGCTGTTAGTGAACTTCATTTCGGGGAATCGGGGGTCTGAAGAGCACCATTTCTCGCTGTGGAGCAGAGAGCTGATCTTCAGGCCGAGGAAGGATGGCGGCCTGGGGGTACTTGACCCTTTCGTTGAACTCAGCGGCCTGGCAGCCAGACGAGTGGGGAAATTTGTGCTGGGTAACAGAGGAATTGGGAGATGGTTGGCGACGAAGGCGGCGGACCTCCCCGCGGGCTTTCGGTGTTTTTGGGCGCACGAGGACTCCCTGAAGGATTGGAAGGGGCGGAGCGAAAGGTGGAGAAAAACGTGTGAGGCGTTCATGAAGTCAAAAATAGCGAAGGAAGGTCCGAAGACGAGATGGGACATCGCGCAAGAGCCTTTGCTGTTCAACCGCCAGACCCTGCCAAACGGGAAGAAGCCGATTGGCCGCCAGAAAGCAGCGGAAGGGCTGGAGCTAATTCAGCTGGGTGATTTCATTAGCTGCGCAGAGGACGGTGCGTGCACGTTAAAGAGTGAAGAGGTACTGGCCAGGGAGCTGGGCACAGTCAAGAAGGCAAGAAAGGTGCTAAAAATCTTCAAATGTATTCCGGGCGCATGGAAGGAGAAGCTGCTGGCGCCTGTCACGGGGAAGGAGCTCCTGGAGATGTCATCTCATGTGAAAAGAATAGGCGCAGTGGGCGTATAGAAGGTGGATGCGGTGGAGCAGGGAAGGCTTGCCTGCCGAGCATGCGATTGTTTTGGGGAGCCCCTGAAAGGGTCTGCGGAACAGTTGTCGGTTTTCGACCTGAACAGAGTGGAGCTGTTGATGGTGAGAGAAGGGAGGATAATTGGAGTGAGCGGCTTGCCAGAAGTACGGCTGCGCTGCTCAGAGCTATGCGCAGGCAGGCAACTCCCCCCTTTCAAGCAGCTGAGAGGGCTGTTTGGCGCGCAGCAAGGGGTGATGCGGCAACAAGAGAAGTGGGCGGATGACTGGGGGCATGCAATTGACTGGAAGAGAGTCATCAGCGTGCGGGACTCTGCGGTGCTCCCGAACCGGGCTCGTGATGTGCTGCTTCGGCTGCACTGCCGTAACCTGCAGGTTGGGGTGCGGCTGAAGTTTCTGGAAGGCGTGGCTTGTCCGCATTGCGGAGGGGAAGAGTCCGCGGAGCACTGTTTATTCAGCTGCCCCCGCATCCAACCGGTGGTGCAGGGATTGCTAAGAGCCCTCCGCCTTCTCAACCCGGGAAGGAAAATCTCATCGCTGGGGGACCTGTTGTTTCAGAAAGAAGGCTCGGGGTCAGGATTTCCAGTGGCAACTCTCACTGCTATCGCATTCCACAAGATCTGGGTGGAAAGGTGTGATGCAGTCTTCGAAAGGGGTCATTTTCGGTCCAAGAGGGTGCTGCGCAGAATAGCGGCGGCTTTCTATACACACACGAGGGTTTATCTACGTGCGAAGAAGGGGAATAAACGGGCAGATGTGGTGCTGGGGCCGGGGCAGCGCTCTCCCTTGGAGCGGCTGGATCCGGACGAATTCCGGATGCTAGCAGGGTTTGTGACAGCTCAGCAAGAACGCTTGCATGGACCAGTGGCTTCACCTCCATCTGGGCCAACCCGCGTACGATCTTCCATCCCCCTTAAGATATCAGGATGGGTACGATAGCTGGCTGCTATCTAGGCCCATCGGCTACAGTTACGACTGTTAATGCTTGTATGCACTGCTATAGTGGATCTTGCATTGCCAAAATATATATATATATATATATATATATCGCTTCTTTCCCCGCACCGCGCAACCCAGCCGAGTGTCATTCATTCCCTCAATGAACCAGCACAAGACAAACCGCGCCGTGTTGTACCGCACTACAATCAGATATATGAGCCTAAAGGGCCAACACGTTTGGGTGGACCCCGCGCTGAGACGCATCGCACGGCGGCCACATACCAAACTCAACAAACGAATTCTTTCATTCAGCAGCAGTCTGCTTTTGCAGGCAACTCCATCGATCAACCCATCCCTTTCTTCAAAACTTACCAAGTCTCATTCTCAACCTTCTTTTCCGATTGATTCCTTCCTGATTTCAATGAAGGATTTTCGAAAAGCTCCAACCCAATGAGCTCAATTCGGACTTCAGGATACAAGCTTCACGGAGCAAATCAACTCAGCTTACCTGAAGCCTCCTGGCTAGTACATGGGGAAGCACGAGGGCATGTGGCAGCGTGAGGTCGAGTAGATTAGATGAGATGGGTGTGGGGTGGGTTGGGTAGAATAGAGTGTCTGAGCGAGCTGCTGCTGCCTTAGTGCCGAACCGTGTACTACGCCAAAATTCCGCGGCAAGTGCCTTTACCGCGACATCTAAAAAATTTCCTCCGCAAGTTCAACGGGGCGAGACCTTCACGCCATGATTTCTCGCGGCGAGGTCTCCGCTACAATCTCTTCGTGGCGCGATGTTCTCTACGTGATCTTCACCGCCAAGATCCTTCACGGCAAAATCATCGCGGCGGAATCTCCGTTCTAAACTCGCCACTGCACGAGCTTCAATGGCCGGACTTTCTATGCGGCAAAGTATTCACGCCGAGGTTCCCTACTGCCGCGATCTCCCTCGAAGTCTCCGAAAGTGTTCTCCTTGCTTCGATAACGCTCTGATGGCGAGGTTTCTGTTAAACTGTATTATGCTTGTAGGCTGTAGTGGGGTAGCCAATATGGGGTACAACCCCAACTAGGGTTTCATATTTGTACCCAAACTTCTGTTAGTTCATCATTCTTGCCTAGTGATTCTGAAATGGTATTCACAGCCTCGCCCGCTGCTCTCTATCCGTGCACAGTCGCCTTCCCCTGCTGCGGCAGCTTGCGTTACTCTGTCACACTGTCGCTATGGCTTCCATCCGCGTGCTGTCGTTCGATGCTGAGGGCCGCCCTGTGCGGTTCACCGCTTGGCTAGATGACCTGCAGCTGTTCCTCCTGAGCGATAGCAAGGAGCATGTGTCGCTCTATGATTACGCGTCTGGTGCTGCGCCTGCCCCTCCTGCCACAGCTGAGCTTAGTGTTCGTTCCCACTGGCAGACTCGTGACGCAGCTGCTCGCCTAGCCATTCGCAGTCACCTGCCGTTAGCTGAGCTAGAGCATTTTGGCGACTGCAAATCCGCTAAGGCCCTGTACGACGCTGTCGTCGCTCGCTACTCCTCGCCTGCCACAGCCGAGCTTAGCCGCCTCATGCTGCCGTACCTGTTCCCCGATCTGTCCACCTTTACTACAGTCGCCGATCTTATCACCCACCTTCGCACTAGTGATGCTCGCCTGCGTGCCGCCCTTCCCACCGAGTTCTGCGCTAAGAACCCCCCTCCACTGTACTGGACACTCCACTTCATAGTCACCCGTCTCCCTGACACCCTCCGCTCAGTTCGAGACCACTTCCTTGCTCGCTGTCCCACTGAGCTCACAGTCGCCCTCCTAGAGGAGCACCTGCTCGCGGCCGAAAAGAGCATTGTAGCTGTCGGTGCTGCTCGTGGCGCTCCTCGCACCCCCATCTTTGAGGGGTGTTCTCCCTCTCCCCTCGCTCCCTCCTACGCTGCTGCTGCTGCTGTTGACTTCCTTGGTGCTGAGTCTGTTGGCGCTGCTTCTACTCCTGGTGGGAGGCGCCGCACCGGCAAGGGCAAGGGGGGCAAAAGTGGTGGTGGTGGCACTGGGGGGGGAGGAGGTGGGGGAGGTGGGGGGGGAGGCGGTGCTGGAGGGAGCGGTGGCGGGAGCGCTGGTGGGAGTGGGGTCGGTGGTGGAGACGGGGGCGGCGGAGGAAGCAGTGGCAGTAGTGGCGGCGGCGGCGGTGGCGGCGGTGGCGGTGGTGGCGGTGGTGGCGGTGCCGGTCGGAGCGGTGGTAGTGGTGGCGGCGGAGGTCGGAGTGGAGGCACTGGCTCGGGCCAGAGCTCCCAGCAGCAGCAGCGTCCCCAGACGACCCAGCAGCTTCGTGAGTGGCTTGCTCAGCGTGGGACGTCGGGGGCCAGTGCCCGCTGTTCTTATGTCATTCGCACAGGTGACCGCAAGGGACAGACGTGTGGGAGGTTCCACACCCCGTACCGCTGCTTCTCCCGCCTTGACGACGCTTGGCGTGAGGAGATGGGTGCGGATGTTGAGCGCCCCCGCTGGGCTGAGCTCATGAGGGCTGGTGTTGATGTCTTTGCTCTTGACTATGATGCTATTATTGCTGCCATGTATGCATTGACTGTTAGTGCCGAGGGAGACTGTTACTTGTGTGTGCCGCCTGACCCAGGTATAGAGCCCGCTGCCCTGGGTACTAGTGAGTCTGCTCTCTCTGGTATGGTGCCCCCTGTACTTGCTCCCCCCAGTGCTGTCCCGGCTGGTTTCGAGTCTGCTCTCTCAGGTACAGCACCCACAGAGACTCCTCTCTCAGGTACCGCACCGGCTGAGGCCTGTCACACCTTCACCCTTGACTCAGGTGCTTCCCGTTGCTTCTTCCGTGACAGTACTGAGCTCACACCGCTTCCTGCACCGGTCCCAGTCTCCTTGGCTGACCCCTCTGGGGGCCCAGTCCTTGCCCAGTCCACCACTGTCCTCCCTTGTCCGGCGGTTCCGTCTGGCTCGTTGTCGGGTTTCCACCTCCCCTCGTTCTCGACGAACCTGGTGAGCAACGCTGTCCTCCAGGATCAGTGGGTTGACACCTTTACCCCTGGCGGACAGCGTGTGGCGATCTGCACGTGCTCCAGGACCGGCCGTCACCTGGCTACGTTCACCCGTCGGCCGGGGTCGAGTCTCTACACACTGACCACTGCGTCTCCCCAGGTAGCTGCTGTCGGTCAGGTGTCTGCGTCAGGTCTGGTGGCCCACGCCTGTGAGTGTCGTTCCCTGTCGCACCAGACTCTTCTCTGGCACCACCGCCTGGGTCACCCCTCCTTGCCACGCCTTCGTGGCATGCACCGTCGCCTCCTTGTGTCCGGTCTTCCCAGGTCCCTCCCTCCCCTCCCTGCCTCGCCTGCGCCGCCTTGCCTTCCTTGCGTCGAGGGGCGGCAGCGCGCCGCTCCTCACTCCTCCTCGTTCCCCCCGACAGAGGCTCCTCTGCAGACCCTCCACCTGGACGTGTGGGGCCCAGCCCGCGTTCGTGGTCAGGGTGGTGAGCGGTACTTTTTGCTGGTTGTCGACGACTACTCGCGTTACACCACGGTCTTCCCCTTGCGCACCAAGGGTGAGGTCCCTGCTGTTCTGATCCCTTGGATCCGCACGGTTCGTCTCCAGCTCCGCCGCCGTTTCCGGACGGATCTTCCTGTCCTGCGTCTGCACTCTGACAGAGGTGGTGAGTTTTCCTCCGATCTCTTGAGGACCTTCTGTCAGGCGGAGGGCATCGAGCAGACCTTCACGCTTCCGGACTCCCCACAGCAGAATGGGGTTGCTGAGCGCCGCATTGGCCTGGTCATGGAGGTCGCTCGTACCTCCTTGGTCCACGCGGCGGCTCCCCATTTTCTGTGGCCGTTTGCTGTCCGGTACGCCGCGCATCAGCTCAACCTCTGGCCCCGTGTCTCCTTGCCGGAGACCTCGCCCACACTGCGTTGGACGGGGGAGGTTGGCGATGCGTCGCGCTTCCGGGTGTGGGGTGCTCGTGCCCTTGTCCGCGATACGTCCGCGGACAAGCTCTCCTCCCGCACGCTTCCCTGTGTCTTCCTTGGCTTTGTCCCTGACGCGCCTGGCTGGCAGTTTTA